TGTGTCTTACCGTTGATGTGTCGTTGAATCATGTTTTACTACGGTCCATATGACGTCAAAGACACCAATGGCGAACGCAAAAGACGCGACAGCGATAAAGACGGAAACAATCTTTAGAACAGCTTAACTTCTCAACATCAAATAAACAATGAGTGGCAGCTATACGCACCCCAGTGCCCGCGATATCCGGCTCGGGAGGGACTTCGCCGCGCTCATAGCCAGCGATAGTCTGGAATCCTCCAGAGTCGTTCGGGGTGACACTGCAGTCCACAGTCGTGTTGTAATGGCTCTTACACTGCGCTATCGATATGGAAGCTCCCATGATGGTTCACTAAGGTAGCTTGAATCGCGGTCACTAGAACAACAAAAGTAAGAACAAGCCTTGCAGGTCGCAGACTGGTTGTCGGCCAACGAAGGAAATCCCTTGAGATTTTATATCATTTTGATGCTCTTATGAGATTCCGCGTTCCCAAAATATTGACAAGGCTGGCCTCAAGCTTTCTCGTTTCATCGTCGAGGCAGAGAGGGTGACCCAGGCAGGCTGGGTGGAAAACACAGCATGCTTACTATGGCATTCTCATTCTGTACCCTCTAGCCGCAAAAAAAAACAGGGATTAAGCTACCCTCCATGTCAGACTAAGCGGCACTTCATCTCAGCCCCGACAAGTTCGGGGTAAGCTAACATACAGTTCTCCAACGCCACGTGGGGGCCATAGCGGATTATAGCTAGCTTTTACCGTCTCAGTATGCGAGCCTATAGCTATGGCCCAGGCTGTAGGATTCATCCGCATGGTGTGCGTTCACTAGAATGTTGAGCTTCAATGGTGGTGTTGTGTAATGTCTGCAAGCTGGTTCATGCAGGCTATGTAGATATAGGTAATCGCGGCTAGACGTCTCGAGAGCTAGGTGGCGGCATGCAGGATGGCGGTGGCTCCCAAAAGTACCTTCGGGCTAAGATTGACAGGACGTGTAGGCCATTAACAGCGCGAAATTCCTAATAAGTGAGACATTAGGCAATCATCAAGAAGAACTGCTGCCCCTTTACGTCTTGCGGAATCGCCCCAATACGAGAACATGGGAGAGGGGGCGTTGGCAGATGGGAGACGAGAGATCAAAGATGGGAGATGGGAAGTCCAGGAGGGGCCGAGATCGAGAAGTGTACATTCATTAGGCGACAAAACCATTCACTGCGAAACCTTTTGGATAGTCAGATGCTTCGTTGACTCAAACATGCGAAAGCCTCAACTTTTCTTTGATCAAGGCCTAAATTGGCTACCAGCAATGATTGCCTGCAAAGGGTTGCTGGCCACATACGACAAGCCCAGCTTAGCTACCATAGTCAAGAGCCCGGTCGCAAGCAACATAGCAATGGAAAATCCAGCGAGGCCAAATACCTCCAAATGTCCCATACCATTCGCAGGTCGCGGCCCATCTGCGGTCTCGGCGCCAGTCTTCGCATCGTGATGCGGCACATACTTGAACTCGTATTTATATCCTCCCTTCAAGGTGTCCTTGTTCTCCACGATGTAGTCCCAGAATAAAGCTCGGAATGTCTGACGACATTGGATCAGCACGTGAAAACTATTCGGTAGTCCTGTTCAACTTCAGAGCTTGCTTACCTTGATTTGCCATCTATCCCAGGCAGGGATAGAACGCGACATATAAGTAATCACCATCAGAGTCCAGATGATACCTCTGATGACAGCATCCCAGTACAGACCGGGTTTGCCAAGTCCGACGTCATCACACATCTCATCTCCGTTGATGAAGCGAGTCCCAGCCTCGAAGAACTCTTTCGGCTCGTAAATTGGAGCAGCGCCGTCCAAAGCAATGACCAAGTTATTGGCCAAAGCTCGAGAGTTCTTGCTCGGGGCAAGGCATGCCTTCAAAAGCGATTCCATAGATGCCAATGCTCGTTCGGGTGTTTCCAAGATCCAGTGGGGAGTACCCAAGACATAGCCGACCCATCGCCATAAAGCGAGGTAGTCCAGAGCTTCTTGGTGGCGCACGTAGATACCCTGTCGGGGCAGTGCCAACCACACGAGGTTGGTGGAGAATGCACATACAGACTGCATCGAGTCAAGTTCGTTGATGGGGACGCCGTATTTATCGACATCAAAGTATCCGGGACGCTGTGCGTTGAGCTTCAAGATTCGTCCTCGCACCGCGGCATGCAGTAGTCTGACGCGCACGGCTGAAGCGAAGCCTTCACCTCCAGGCTTGATGTCGTCGAGGGATTTTGTGACCTGGAGAAGGAGCTGAAATGTCTCAAAGAGTCTGTTCTTGGCGACTTTGGCGGAGTGACCGCCTGTACGAACCAACGTCTCTGCCGGTCGATACGAGGCTCCCTGTTGGTAGATCGCATTAGCATTTTCGCCGAGAGTTTCTCACATCCGTGTCTTCTTGTCATCACACTCACAGTCGTAGCAAGCAGTCCCTGGAACGCAAACCCAGTAACTGCAGCAGGCGCGTAGCGGTAGAAGACGTCCTGCCCACGCTTGATCTGGTCCCAGTCGACCCACTCAGGCACGGCGTTGACTTCGTCCCAGAGCTTCATCAGCCTTGGGTCCTTCTCGCGGTGGTCCCGAAGCAGAGCGTATGTATCGCGATCGGGCTGCGGGTCTTCCTGCTTCCCCTTGGCGTACCACCCAGCTCGAGGCGGCGGAGGAGGGAACATGCCATCTAGAGCTGTGAGAGCCTCTGACCCCACTTCATCGAACTTATGCTTCAGAGGGTCAAGCTGCTCTGCTGACATGTGAAGATCCGTTTGGCGAAACTTGTAGCCATATGAATCGATAAGAGAAGGTGCCATTATGATTCCATGCAGATGTGCAATGAGTACTTGTGATCTGGCAAACGTCTTGTCGTGTTAAGAAGATTCTACCTTTCTAGATAAATCAAATCGGAAAGGCTCTGCTCAACACCTACATTTATATCCAAAATTCATGTTCCGGAACGCAGTGAGCTACCCATGCAACTGCGGCAGCACTAGTCCTAATCCGTGACATTCGTACAGTCGCCCAACGAGCGACCCTATCAACTTCCATCCCTGCGCATACCTCAATGTTCCACTCGTTCGAGACGGTCAACCAAAACTCCATACTGCATGTCAATTTGACTCCGCGAACAAGTCGCGTGCGACGTTGATGGTAGCATAGAAGGCGGAGAAATGTCTGACAGGTCACTCTCCACCAGGGCTGCTGCTGCGAGAGCACTAATTAGGTGACAGGATAGCCGAGAAATGTCAGCGCCAAGGCATAGACTGCGACACATGGGAACCCGATTGTCATCATCCTCCCGTCTGACGGTCTCTTCGTTGCTTTCAGTGACATATAGTTCTACCAATGAGAAGCGATTCAATCAATACCGCAGGGTATGCCTTCTCCTTGACTCTACTGGCTCATAACTGCGGTTCAAAGCGATACCCCGTGAGAACCGATGTTACAGAAGGGGTCTCACCCAACACGCAGATGTTAATAACCTGGAGTTGAATAATATGCACCATGTGTTTGTTGTTCACGCATCTCAGTATCATGGACGAAACGTAATTGATCAATAAAATCCGCTTGAGAATACAATGCTAATGCTACGCATCAAGAACGCTATACAATGAAAGCCGTAGTCGTTTAAGCGTTGACACAGCTGAAACCGGACAGGCTGTAGTATCCGCACTTGTCCGTCGTCGTCTTCCAGGCCCGGCAGTTACCGCACACACGGTCGACCGTGACTCTGCACAAAGAAGAGCTGCCGTAGCCGTTGGTGCCGCGCCAGTCCGAGGTCGTCAGCCCTCGGTCCGCGCCAGAGATGCGGGCCGAGACGGTAGAGCCATACTCTATAGGGTTGGCGTATTTGTCAAACTTGCTATATCCCCAGAATATCACAGTCAGTCCAATATTCGTATACTAACGCCAGGTTGATGAGAGAGGTGGTGTTCTTACGCCGTGCATGTGCAGTCCTGGGCCGCGGGGCAGTTGCCGCGAGCGACGAGCTCGACGTTCTCAGCGGCAGGCGCGCCGGGAGCGGCGTAGGCAGTGGAGAAGAGGGCGATGGCCACGGGGACGAGTGAGAACTTCATGTTGGTGGAAGAAGAGTTTTGAAAGAGTGGATTGAGGTCAGAGATCTGAGCAACTAGTGAACGAGCGAATGAGTGACTGGCGTTGAAGACTGAGAGGCTACACCGGCATGTAATTCCACTTCGTCTTGAACATCCATCTATATAACAACGGCAGGGTACTTCATGAACGAGAGTCATGGCCGCGGCTCGGCATCAAACCACGAGCGTTTTCCCCGATACTATCTAGAAAGATTGCGATGAGACGAACTAATTCGATAGAGTTCGGATCGAACCCGAGGCTTTGGCGCACCTCGTCTCATGTTTGACCCAGTAATTCCCTATTGCAGAGCGCTGCGGCGAGAGAAAATCCGTGCTTTCCAGATGAGGCAGAGAAAAGGATAATTGATTATTTGTTCCAGACTACGGCACCGGCGGCCCCGGGGCTCGCTGCTGAAGAATAAGATTAGGCTTAGGCGGTGCCTTAAATCACCGCCATTTCGTACTGCGAGTCAGGCTACTGGATCGCAATTGCGGGCGGTCGGTCTGGCGATGCCGTTGGCGCGCGCAGCGACCAGGTGACCCGTGAGAGATTGGGCTTTCGAGAAAAGCGAGGTGCAATCTGATAACGCGAGTCGTTGCCAAGAAAGCAGTTTGTGAAGCGTTAGTAGTAAGCCTTGGCGCCTCGAGCTTTGAGATTGTGAAGAGGGAGCCATGGTGTCACCGGTTGCATGCACCGATGATATGTGAGAACAATTCTCTGGATTCATAGACATCGGTTTGCTTCAAGCTCTCGAAACATTGAGCCTAAAGTAAAAAAATGAAGCGCTGAATGTTCTATTGAGTAGCAACTAAAAAGTATGCTCGCTATGCTCCGTTTGTGTTTAGTACCCCTGACTCTCCTCCAATTTCCTACTACACCGAAATAAGGTTCAACTTGAAAGGGCCTCTAGCACTTGAGGTCTCCGTTAATGTTGCTCAGGCACGTGTCTAAGCCGATTAGTCAGTACTTGCTGTGATAATTGATTAACTTCCCATGATAATCTTACCCAGGTTCAGGGACGAAGGTCTCTTCGCTCCGGTGGAATCAGTGCAGCGGCAGTTCAAGATCTGCTTCTTGTCGCCGCCAAGACCACAGTCGCAGAACTTGAACGATGGGCTTTTGCAACATGTCAGTATGAAGGTTAATTAAATAAAGGTATGGCTTACTTGGAAGGACGGCACTGCGAATAAATCACATTAGTTTGAATCCAACGATGGAGCGACTCAGAGCTTGGCTTCTGGGTGTAAGACTTACGACAATCCTGCCTCCGACATTGGCCAGGCACTTGGTCATATCCAAGTCGGTCGAGTAGGAATCCTCCTGGTATTTGTCCATGCAGTAGGACTTGACGCTGGTAGAGAAGTAGGACGTGCCAGAGCATGTCGCCGAAAAGTCGCCAGCGGCGACTTGGAGGGCAGCCATGGCCAGAAGAGGAAGACTAGCGAGTACGCGCATGGTGAAATGATTTAATGAGTGAATAGTATTGAAAGAGTGGAAGAAGGCAATGGACAAAGGAATGTGAGTAGCAAAGCTGGTGATTCAAAAAAGAAAATGGGCGGAAGAAGACCTTCTGGGACTTGTACTGTGTTTTATAGGTTTCTAGTATAACAGCAAGCTTCCTAGCAAGTTCGTCCGAGCGGAATAGAAGCACGGAGTCCTCAATGAGATAGTCGACTAAGCTGCGTACCTTACCTAGTTGTCGAGTCGTGACTATGTGAAGCTTGATACATTAGGTAGAAACCTTAAACCACTTGAAGCTTACCTGACTCCTGCCGCCGCGCGACTCGTGGATGGCGGAAAGGGCATCAATTAGGCGAACATTTCACACCTTTCGAGGCAAATTTCGATTCCAACATATTGTAGGGCGTGTAAAGATTAGAAATCAAGCGGGTGTTGAGAAATGAGAATGTAGGTATCAATCGTCTCTTAATTTCCGAAAACGCTAACGGACTGGTCACGCCCTAACCCAAGAGCTCGTGCAGACCCTCCTCCTTCAACGTCTCTCTCACTGCCTCGAGGACCTTTGAGTGGACTGACGGCGGTGCCGCGATGAAACCGTAATTTGCCTTCATCTTCCGTCCCGCTACGAGATTTACCGGGTTGCCGTCGACGTCGGTGACCTTCCCGCCTACCTCCTCGAAAAGCAGCATGGCGCCCGCGTGGTCCCAGATCTTTGCGAGACGGTCACGCCGCCTGTAGGCCCAGAACGTGCAATTCGCCTGACCGAGACCGAGAACCGTCCACCGCAAAACCCAGCCGAGCAGATCGTTGCCCGGATATGCTACACCAAGGCGTTCGGCGACTTTTTGGTGGATACCCGGAGCCCCAGATTCGGAGCCTTCGATGCATGTCACTGACACCAGGGATTGCGTATCCACGTCGGCGTGGCGGGGAATCTTTGTGGGCTCGAGGTCGATCGGGCCAGGAAGCGGCCGGATGAAGGTTCCGTGCCCTCGGACTGCGAACATGATGCTGCCGGTACCGGTGGGGTCGATGGAGTCGTTGTTGATGGGCGCCTTCGCGTCGGCCGAGAGTAGCGGCAGACCGACGATGCCGACGCTCTGCTTCCCTTCTTCCATCAGGCAGACGTTGATAGCGTAGAGCTCACCCCGCACAAAGGTCTTTGTTCCATCGATAGGGTCAAACACCCAGAAGCGGCCAGTAGGTGATGGGTCGCTAAGGCCGCACCAGTCAATCATGTCGCACATCTCCTCTGGTGACGTAGGCAGCTTGCATAATGAGTCGGCGGTCTTGTCGTTCTCGACCTGCTGCAGTAGCGCCCATACAGACTCGAGGAGCTTGGGATTCTCGCGGAGGTCAGCGGCGGACTCCTCGCCGACGAATTTATCGTTGGGAAAGGCGGCGTGCAGTGTGCTCGTCAGTAGGGCCTGGATGGCGAAGTCGGCAACGGTGACTGGGCTGAGATCCTCTTTTGTCACGACGCCCTTGTCATCTTTAACGAGAACACGGCGGCTAAGCTTGGCGCCGTGTTGTATGGCGGCAATGGCAGTTGCCAATTCTCGAGCATATGGTCCGTCCATTTTGGTTGCTGGGTGATGCCGTCTATCGGGCAGAACGGTGAGATGAGGTGGTGGTGTTGAGAGTAGTGTAGACGATAGGTGGGGTGAATTTGACAGCGCTGATCAGTGTTCGTGCAGAGCGGGTTCGGTGAGTACCAGTTGATGAGTCAGGCGATTGATGTGGATGCGATGTGAATGTAGATGCAGATGCGGATGCGGATATTACCTCACGCAGGTGTTCTGTTCGCAACCGGGGAGATGACTGGTGGTAGTGGTAAGCTACGAATGCCGCCGCGTGAATGTGGTTGAATGCAGTTTCTTGAATGCCGCCGATGATGTCAGACCACAAGTCTAGGCATGGTAGGCGCGCTTTTCCCAAGCGCCTTCCCGTTGCAAATTTTGCCGGAAGAACTCCGGTGACGTGGGACCTGGAAGGAGTGGCCCCGGCATCGGCGTCGGCAGCCCCGATTCGAAAAGCGGGTCTGTTTCCGCTATCCAGAGCTTCGGATCCGATCTAAAATGGAGTTGCAACGACATTCAGTGCGAAAAGAGCTTACAAATGGGAAGTTGGGGGGTATCACAAGGTCTTGGCTGCCGATAGATAGAAGGTATAAGGTACAAAGTTGAAAAGCCACGCCCTGAGTTCACCCTTTGGCCCCAAGTCTCATTTTGGCAGATCCCATGTGCAGGTTTGCATGATGTATTTCCCTGGTAGAGGTCTAGTAAGCAATTCCGCCATTCAAATCGCATAGAGGCGAAATCAGGTACTTACTGTCTTTCCAGGTACGTTTCTTATGGAACAATACAGCTCGCAAATACCAAAGCCTGGTACACCACACGGCCGCCAGAGCATCACGCATCGCCCGGTCCAGGGAGACCAGAATGTTGAGACTGTACATGCCGCTCTTGGACTCCTCAACTGCCAATCTTGTTCCATTACCGTCAAGCCAGTCGAAAACTTGGTTGTTGCGGCGAACGTCGAACAGTAGCTCTCGCGCCTCGTAATACTCGGTCCTGTCACTCGCCTTCCGCCGGCCCACCAGCCAGGCCTTGCATTCGCTCTTGCCAATCTTCAAAAACTTGAGCCCGATGCTACCCAAACCACTCCGAGATGTTGGTTTGATGTAGTACGGGAAGGTCTCCTGGAGAATGGCAGGAGGGCGCTCCAGATTGAAGATGTGCCTCGAGTTGGAGACAATTTCGGGCAGACGGTTCGACTCATCAGGCCTTTTCTTGATACTGTAGTCAATGCGGCTGAACTCCACAAGTCTATCGGTTTCTCGTAAGAAGTCTATTTGGTGGTTGATCTCGAAAATTCCCGGCGCATCCGCATTCCGGGTGTTGGCGGAATGGACAAATCGGCCAGCCAGCCGGAGTGTATCTGGCGGCAAATTCTCTGAGACTGTACCAGCATCCACCGCATAGTCTGGCGGAAGATCGGGGTTGGTGTCGACTTGTGCCATCTCGTCTTTCAGTCTCTTCTTCGCTAGATCAACAGCCAATGACGACTATCTGAGGTTGAGCAACGGCTTCGAGAGACAGTTGCGCAGATCAAACTATTGTAGGAGGAGTGGCGCCTTGGACACGGTACTGATTGAATGGATTGCAGTGAAATGAGAGCCTGGCGGTTGAGCGTGGTGACATGTTTATGATGGATGAGGTCATGTGCAACATCGAATGAGCCGTGACAGGCCCGAACGGCAAGCGTCGCCCGAGCATGCTCCCGCAAATGCGACAGACAGTTAATTGGCTCTTCTTGTTTGGCTGCCTAAGTAAGCGGGCGATAAAGAAAGATTGAAGCGCTACAACGCTCGGGAATGCGGCAAACGTGATTGGGTTGTGTGCTCTGTCAGCAACTCGCCCGAACCTGAAAGTGCGGCATAATGTCGGAAATGCCTCAACGTAGTGGTCAGCTGCGTCTAGTTTTGCCCGGCTTGTATGGTTAATCGTCGAAAAACGGATTCGTTAATGCGGGTGGCCTCAGAATCAACCGTACGACTCAATCAAGAACTTAAAATCATCTACACAACATATGAACGCACTCAATTTGCGCTATTTTCAACCGCTCCCAACTTGCTCAAGGTCCAAGTGGTGATTGTATACCATCCTATCTTGTTCCATTCACCACCTTACCAACGCGCCTTCGCCTCGATCTAGTTCCATGACAAATCGTGCTGCAGACATTCAAGCTGCACTGAAATGAATCCGCGAGCGAGTTACGCGTGTGTAGTCGACGGTTGCATTGGTCGAAGTTGGTCGAAGTTGGTCGAAGATGACCCTTTTATCGGAGGGACGAAATGTGACGATGTTCAGAAAGACAGCTCATAGAATATTGCAAAAGTCGCTCTCACGATAATGACCAACCGGCGAGAGCTCAGGGGAACAGGCGTGTTTGTCTACTCTGTCTTCAAGGCTACTTGCCGAAGCACACGTAGGTGCGAGTCTACACGCCGCACCTATTGTTTGCCTAGTACAGGTCTGTGGGATGGAAATCCAGTCCCTTAGCACGATGAAGGTTTCTTAACCATGTATGGTGTGGGCGCCGTCAAAGATAAGGCTGAGCCTGTGCTACTGCCAGGCAGGAAGGTTACAGCCCAAAGCCCCTGCTTGCATACCCGTCCGTGCCGTTCCCATGAACTGGGTAAGGTATTGGGCTGCTGGCAGGCTCGAGGAGTAGCTTCGGGGACTGTTGCTGGTCCCGCACCTGTCAGATGCAAAGAAATGCAAGGTTAGTTGACATCTGCGGCAACTTGGAAAGGAAGTCGCTGCCGTAGATCATACTTTGTCCGGATAGCGACGTTCGGCGAATTGTTGCAGGCTGCTATCTCCACCCTAGGCGTAGGCTCTTGTCCTTGTTTGACGTCTCTTCGGAGTATTTTGACCTGATTCAGCCTCGTGGTAAAGTTAACAGGCCGTTTGTGCTCTTTTGACCTAACCCGAGAGAGATAATAATAGATCTCAATATCTTATCTAGAGGGTTGTTGCACATCATCTATCGGTAGGTGGACATGTAGACTGCAAACTCATGATGAGTGAAGCGAGCAAAGACAGGACTATTTCACAACATCTACACGAAGAACTCGGGATTGGATCACTCCGACTGTCAAAGCTCACCGACATGGCAGTGGCTGCTTGTCTATGGCGAAAATTTGAGGGAAAGAACCCATCGAACTACTTCAAGATGCGGTTAGGCGAATTCGGGTGCAGATGGCAATCCATGCCCAAGTTTTGATTCATACAAACACGTGCATAGCCAGCCACGACATCGGTATATTGTTGTCAAGGATAAGAAGCGGTTGCGATATTTAATTAGGGATTCGTACTAGGGACAGGCTCACTGGTTCGACATGGATGATGGGTAAAGCATAGGAGGTAGCCTATTGGACACTGAGTACAACAAACAAGAAAAAGTCAATCCTTTAATTAACCCGAGAG